TACCTCGTGTGGACGCTAAATACCGGATTTCTTGCTACGTGTGAACGCGGCTTATCTGTCTACCAACCAATCCATGAATCAATCACTCGATCGATCGATAAATTAATCTACAGGCAGATGGTTTCTATCATTATGTAACATCGATAAATAAACGCGGAAAACCAGAAAATGACATCGACGCTGCAGCCGACCGCATGCAGGCACTTGAAACGTTTCAATAATAAAATGCTGGTAAATAAACACGAAATGTATTTGCTACCAAAGTCTTATATTAATGTTTCTCTACTCTCTTTTGCCTATTATTACCGATGATTTCCTGTAAATGCCGTTCAAATGCTCCACTGCAACATACAAGTACACCGCACGAACGCAACTAAATATAATGTTGTTGTTTGTGCACAGTGGCGTGCTTGCGGTGTACATGTGGGTTACAGAGGAGCATTTGAACGGCATTTACAAGAAATTATCAGTAATAATAGGCGAAAGAGAGTAGAGAAACATTAAGATTTTGGTTGTAAATACATTTCGTGTTTATTTACCATCATTTTATTATTGAAACGTTTCAAGTGCCTGTGCATGCAGCCGAAAGCGTTGCTCGCTCATTCAAGATGGCGGAGAGGTCGCTACGGGTATAGAGTCGTCTGCGCCTCTAGCTCGCTCCGTCCGTGCGGGCACCGCTCACCCGAGGCGTGTCTGCGCGCGTGCGTGCCCATGTGACGTATGAGTGTGTGCGTGCGTGTGTGTGCGTGTGCGTACCCGTGTAGCGCATGAGTGTGTGCGCGTGCGTGTGTGTGCGCGTGCGTGCCCGTGTGGCGCATGAGTGTGTGCGTGCGTGTGTGTGCGCGTGCGTACTCGTGTGGCGCATGATTGTGTGCGCGTGCGTGTGTGTGCGCGTGCGTACCCGTGTGGCGCATAAGTGTGTGCGCGCGCGTGCGTGTGCGCGTGCGTTCTCGTGATGCGCGCGTGCGTGCTCGTAATGCGTGCGTGCGTGATGCCCGAGTGTGTGCGTGCTCGTACCGCGTGTGTTCGTGCTCGTGACGCGTGTGTTCGTGCTCGTGACGCGTGTGTTCGTGCTCGTGACGCGTGTGTTCGTGCTCGTGACGCGTGTGTTCGTGCTCGTACTGCGTGGGTTCGTGCTAGTGACGCGTGTGTTCGTGCTCGTGACGCGTGTGTTCGTGCTCGTGACGCGTGTGTTCGTGATCGTACTGCGTGTGTTCGTGCTCGTGACGCGTGTGTTCGTGCTCGTGACGCGTGTGTTCGTGCTCGTGACGCGTGTGTTCGTGCTCGTGA